GGCAGGCAGGCAGGCAGGCAGGCGCGCTGCGCGGCGCGTGCCGTGCGCTGCGGCCAAGGCGGGCCCCAAAAAAACGCTCACCCAGCGTCTGCGCGCGATCCAGCACCGCCACCGCCTCCTGCCACTTCCCCGCGCGCTCGTACGCCAGCATGAGCGCCCCGCACACCACCTCGTTCACGGGGCCGCGCCCCTTGGGCAGCGGCTTGAGCCGCAGGCCGGCGGCCACCACGTTGTTGGCGGCGGCGGCGGCGGCGGAGGAGGAGGAAAGCGCGGAGGAGGAGGAAAGCGCGGAGAGGTCGTCCAGGTGGAGAGGCAGGCCGCGCACCGCGGCGTTGTCGTTGGTCCAGGCGCCCGCGGGCTGGGCGGTGGGGCTGGCGGCTGGCGAGTCGGAAGCCGCGGCGGCGGCGGCCACGCTGACTGGAGAGCCCGAGTCGGCGGCAGCCTCCGCCTTGGCACCGGAGAAGTAACTGAAGGGCGCTGCTGGTGCTGGCGCCGCGCCGGGCTGCGCGGCGGCTGCTGCCTCCTGCTGCTGCGCCTGCTGCGCCTGCGCCTGCTGCGCCAGCTTGAGCAGCGGCAGCTGCGGCGGCGCCGCGCCGCCGGCCGCCGCCGCCTGCTGCTGCTGGCGCGCCGCGGCCATGGCGGCCACGGCGGCGGCCGCCGCGGCGATCGCCTCGCGGCTGCTGCTGGCACCGGCGGCGGGCGCGTCGGCGGGCGCCGCCTTGTGCACGCCCGGGAAGGCCGACAGCGGGGCGCCGGCCGGCTCGGCGGCCGCCGCCTGCAGCCAGGCCGCGCCGGCCAGCAGCGCGGCTTCCTCCGCGCCCGCCGCGCCCAGCTGCGCCGCCAGCTCCTGCTGCTGCTGCTGCGCCGCGGCCACGGCCGCGGCGGCCGCCTGGCGGCGGCCAGCCGTGGGCTCGCCGCCGCCGCCGCCCTGGCCGCCGCCCGCCGCCTCCCTGGCCATCAGCTCCAGCTGCTCCGCCTCCAGCTCCCGGAAGAAGCGCTCCGCCATCTGCCACTTGCCCTGCTCCCCCATGGTCTTGAGCAGCGCTGCAGGCGGCAGCGGCGGGGCCAGCAAGCAGCGCGCGCACACCGTCAGCACAGCGGCAGAAGCTCACAGCCCAGCCGCCCGCCTGGGCAAGGGCGCGGAGACAGCCGAGGCTGGCGGCATCTCAAACGAAGAAAGGATCAGCGCTCAGCGCCCAGCAGCAGCAGCTGGCGGCTGAGGTACAGCGGGACCAAGGTACAGCAGTACAGGCGCCGCCGCCCCGCCCACCAGAGTAGGTGTACGAGTTGGGCTCCAGGCCGCCAAAGGCGTGGCGCCGCATGCGCTTCACAATGTCCAAGGCGCGGTCCCACTGCCGCGCATTGCCCAGTGCTGCAGGGGGAGGCGTGCGTGGGGGCAGACGGGCGTGAGCGGCGGACAGCAGGGCGGCTGAGAGCTGCCGGGCGGAGCCAGCCGGGGCGCAGCCAGCCGGCCACAACCAGGCAGCCAGAGCCAGTCCGTCACGGTGCACCGCAGGCACGCCACGGCAGCCAGCCAGCCAGCCGGCTGGCTCGCCCCGCCATCCTTTCCACAAGATCTCCTCCACACCGGCAGCCAGGCAGGCAGACAGCCAGCCGCAACCAGCCAGCTTGCGCCATCCTTTCCACCGCCATCCTTTCCACAACATCTCCTCACCCGTGATCAGCGCGGTGTAGGTGCGCACATTGGGCTTGATCTCTGAGCGCAGCATCCACTCCACCACCTTTTCCGCCCGCTCCCACTGGCCGTCGGTGCCCAGGGCTGCACGGCAGGCGAGGGGGCGCGCGGGCAGGGGGGTGGCCGTCAGGAGAGCTGGCAATTTAATCAGCGAGGCGGAAGAGCCCGGCAGGAAGGCGGCCGGGTAAAACTGAACGGGTAAAACTGAGCCAGGTAAAGCTGACAGTATAGGCGGCGGCAGGGCAGCCGCCGGACGCCTTGCCCGCTGCGTGACGCAGCATGGCTCCCCAGCAGGGCTGCCCAGCAGGGCTGCCGCCCGCACCCGTGATGAGCGCGGTGCACGACACGACGTCGGGGCGCACGCCCCAGGCCAGCATGTCGTCAAACAAGCCCACCGCCTTCTGCCACTGCCCGCCCGCGGCGCAGGCGGAGATGACGGCGGCGTACGCGTGGCCTGCGCGGCGGCGGGGGTAGGGGGGCATGGGACCAGGCAAGTGGGGTGAGCAGGGGCAGGGGGCAGGGCAGGGCAGGGCAGGCGGCTGGGCAGCTGCGAAGGGAGGGGGCCGGGCGCGGTCTGCTGCTGCTGCTGCTGCTGCAAGGCGCGGCGAGGGAGCCCGCTCGCAGCGCTGCACGCGTACAGTGGCGTGGCCGCGCCTCGCCCTGTGGGTGTGCGCACCTGTGGGCTTGCACCCTGCCGCCTGCATGTCATCCCAGATCGACAGCGCCGCCTCCCAGCGGCCGCCCTCCGAGGCCGCCCGCATGGCGGCTGTGTAGGCGTGCACGGATGGCGCCATGCGGCTGTCCTTGGGGGAGGAGCGCATCTGCAGGCAGGGGGGGCGGTGGGGAGGGAGGACACGGGGCTCAGGCGGGGCCCGCAGAAACGCTGCAGAAAGGCCGAGGCTGGCCGGCGCTGGCATGCCGCGCGGGCTGGCTCCTGCCCGGCCCAGGGCGACGTCACGTCGCAGCGGCAGCGGCATCGTCGACGCCAGGCCTTCCCCCTACCCTGCCTGCCCCCCTGCAGGGGCTCACCTGCGCGTACGCCGCCAGGGCGCGGTCGGTGTCGCCTTTGCGCCCGCACACCTCGATCAGCGTCGTGCACAGGCGGCAGTCGACCTCGCACTTGGCCGCCAGCGCGTCCTCCCACACCTGCAGCACGTCAGGCGGGCGACAGCACCGGCAGGATGGCGTCAGGGCGGCGCCAGCGAGGCAGGGAGGGGGGCGGAGCGGCAGGCAGCGGCGCAAGGGGCAGGGAGGAACCGCAGCCACGCGGCCAGCTGCAGCCCGCACAGCCTGGCGGCAGCAGCCCGGCGCTGCCGGCGGCAGAAGGCCGGCGCTGCCCGGCGCGGCGCCCACCTGCAGCGCGCGGTCCATCATGGACCCCGTGAGCGCGGCGCGCATGGCGGCTGTGTAGGTGAACACCGAGGGCGTGAGGCCGCCGCCGCCCTCCTCGCCGGGAGTGCGCATCCAGTCGTAGAGCGACAGCGCGGTGGCGGCCTGCCCGTGCTGCGCGCACACCCGCATCAGCGTGGTGCACAGCCGGTCGTCGGGGCGGTACCCGATCTGCGGGACGCCATGGGGGGGTTGAGAAGGGCAGGGAGGGCGAGACGGTGAGGCGGCCTGGACTGTTTTTGTTTGTTGAACTGCCGGCAGCGGGTTCCTGCGTCCCCTGACACCTGAGGCAGGGCCCGCCTCCCCGCTGCGTGGCCCGGCCATGGCAGCGCGGCCCCCACCTCCAGCAGCCACTCGTGCAGCATGAGGGCGCGGCGCCAGGTGGACTTGTTGCGCCCCAGCGCCGCCACCAGCTTGTCCAGCTCGCGGTTGTCGCTGGCGCGCAGCTGCACCGCGCCGGGCGCGGGCAGCTCCACCGCGGCTGCCGGGTCCAGCAGGCGGTACAGCACCTCTGGCAGCGAGCCGCTGCCCTCGGGAAAGGCGGGCACCACCTGCGGCCAGCGGGGGGTGGCGGGCGGGTGCCGGCGCGTGGGCGGCGTGGGCCGGCGGGCGGGCGGCTGACGTCGCGGCCGGAGCCGGCGGGAGCCGGGGCCTGTCAGACCTCTGCGGCGACCTCGGCCCGCTGGGCGCAGGGTGTGCTGGCTGGCGCGGCTGGCTGGGCGAGGAGAGCGTGGAACGCTGGGGCCTCCCAGGGGAAGACGAGTAATCCCACCACACGGGGCCACACTCCCACCACACAGGGCCGCACAGCCGCTGCAAACTCGATGCATGGGCGCTGGCGGGGCACCTGAGGCTGCATGCCAGCGCTGAGCGCCTGCATGACAATGCGCACCGTGACATGGGTGGGGGCTTCGAGCGACCGCCTGCCGCTGGCTCCATAGCTCCTGGTGTCAACTTCTGTTGCCACCGAGGCCGAGATGGCCAGCCGGGAGGAGCCGCGACTGGGCTGTGGGAACTGAGCGCCGCGCGGCTGGGACTGAGTCGCCGCAAATAGCTTGCTTCCCAGCAGCGAACCCTTGGTGTTACTTAGGGCCTCAAAGGACGCCCGCGAGGGGGCCCCAAGCGTGCCTTGAAGCATGTTTGCCAGTCACAGTGGCTTAAAAGAAGCAAGGGGGCATGCTGAGGGCGGCAGCCTGAAAGATAACGAAGATGAGTGGCGCGGGAGAGGCGTGTGGGGCTTGTGGCCGGCGGCTGACAGGGACTCGCCCGCATGGCGGGCGCCGGCTTGGTCCACATGCAGCACTGTCCCTCTCAGCCCTCTCAAGCTCCCACTTCGCTGTGTGTCCTATTAGGAAGTGTATGCAATCAAACTGGCGCAGCAGTGCTCCCGACAGCCCGGCACTGGGCGCGCTGCAGACGAGCTGGGTTTTCGGCGGGAAAGCCAAAGTCTACCTCAGGCATATGCAGCGCTTCAGCACTGGCACCTCCTTATGATCCAGGGGACTGGTTCTTCTGATAAATTAAAAAATCAGAACGGAGGGCATTCGACAGGAAGTCTGGCCGAGGGCCCACCGTGCGTCGCCATGCCCTGGGCCCACGTAGGGCGATGGGGCGTGCCTGGCGCTGGCACAGGTCACATGGCTGCAGCTGCCTCGCCCCAGCTTGATTTAGCCATGCCCAATTGGATAGTCGTCTTTACCAACAATGCCATGCTCAAACCAACCCAATTAGTTAGAGATTGTGGCTGAACAGTTACTTTCAAAGCCACTAATCCAAGAAAAGGCTGGGGCAGGGAGTCGACAGGTGCTCACTGCCCTCCCCACCCATGCTGCCGGTACATGGCCGGCGGCGGCTGGTGCGGCGGCGGCTGCAAGGGCGGGCCCTGCGCGGGCCACGCCTGCTGCTGGTGCTGCTGCGGGTGCTGCATCATGGGCGGCTGGTGCTGCATGTGCGGCGGCAGCTGGTGCTGCGAGTGCTGCGGGTGCACCATCGGCGGCGGCCCTTGCTGCTGGTGCTGCATCATGGGCTGGTGCTGCTGCGCCATTGCCTGCTGGTGCATGGGCGGCGCCTGCATCCCTTGCGGCGGCTGCAAGGCCATCGCGCCCTGCTGTGGGTGCTGCATGGGGTAGGGCGGCTGCGGCTGCATCTGCTGCTGCTGCAGCAGCTTGGCCACATCCGGTATCCACAAACCCAGCGCACAGCAGGCCGAGGCAAACAGCATCTTGCGCGGCGAAAACTGCAGCATGCATGGCGTCCGGGCGGCAGCAGCTCAGCAGCAGCAGCAGCAGGGTGAGCAAGACGAACCACCCCCGCCCTGGCAGCAGGCAGAAGAGCACACGCTCCCAACGCAGCGTGCGGCAGCAGGGCGCCGCCCGCGCACCTTGAGGCAGGTGGGCAGGCCGGCGTGGCCCGTCCAGCGCGCCACCTCTGCGCCGCTGGCCACGCTCCAGGCGCGGATGGAGTTGTCGGGGCTGCCAGACATCACGTACTTGGCATCGGGGGTGAGGCAGGCCTCCAGCGCCTGCCCGCCCTCGCCCACGCCAGGGTTGATGATCTGCGGCGGCGGCGGCGGCAGCGGCGGGCAAGCGCGTTGCCCAGCCTGGCGCCTGCCCCGGCCCCTTCCGCTCGACCCCCGGCTCTCAAGCCGCGATGGCCCCGCCCAGCCAGCCGCTCGCGGCGGCCTCGCGGGTAGCGCGGTGTCTGTCACGGCGCCGCGCTCCACAGTCCTCCACAACATCTTGCAACAGCTGTGTGCAGGCAGGGTGCCCGCCCACCTTCTGCATGAGCCTGCCATCAAACGCCTCCAGCAAGTACAGCCGCCCCTCGGCCACCGCCAGCAGCAGGCTGCCGTCCAGGCTGAACTTGAGGCAGGTGAACAGGGCGCCAGAGTGGATCTCGTCGTTGACCTGCGCAGCAGGGTTGAGTGTGTGTGTGTGGGTGTGGGTGGGTGATGATGGGGGTCGGGCAGGGCGCTGGCAGGAGGCATGCGGCCGCAGGAGACGGGTCTTTGCAGGCAGGGCCCGCAGGCAGGCGGCCTTCCTGCCCTCGGCGGCGGGCAGGCGCGCACCGGGAAGGATGTGAAGGGCCCCGCGGCCCAGTTGCGGGCGTCGTACAGCTTGACCACGCCCCGCTCCGCCCCCACCGCAAACACCAGGCCCTGCTCGTCAAAGGTGGTGGTGGGCAGGCCGGGCGCCTCCAGCAGCGCCTGGCAGCCATTCACCCGCAGGTCCCACAGCCGCACCTGGCAGGGGGACGTGTGTGGTGGTGGTGGGGTGTGTGCAGGTGGGTGGGGGTGAGGGCAAGACCCACTGGCGAGGGCAAGACCCACCAACACACCTGTTCACTCACCTGTCCACACACCTGTTCACACACACAAAACACCTGCACATGCACACACGCCGCCCACACCGCCGCCAACCCACCGTCTTGTCCTGCGCCGCCGACAGGAAGACGTCCGATTTGGGCGACATGGACAGGGTGGTGATGCGGCCGGCGTGGCCCCGGAAGTAGCGGATGTAGCGGTTGGAGTGGAGGTCGTGGTAGCGCAGGGCATAGTCGTTGCCCTGCAGCGACAGTGGCGGCAGCCAGCGTGGGCACGCGGGTGGTGTGTGCTTGCTGCGACGGCCAGCAGGGGTATGGCCCCGACTGCCCATCCCTCCATTCCCCGCAACTCCTCCATAGCCGCAGCCACCACCACAGCCACCAGCCGCAGACCTTGGTGGAGGAGGCCACCACGCAGAAGGGATCGTGTGTATAAGTGATGTTGGCGCACCCATACTTCTTGCTCAGCAGCACCCTGCGGGAGGAAGGGTTGCGGCAAGCCAACAGGGAGCGTCGCTGCAAGCTGCAACGCTGTGTCCACGCACGCGCCCGGCGGGGCAGCCCCGCCGCGCCCCGCCGCCTCGCCGCGTGCCAAGCAGCTCAATGCTGGCCCAGGCGCAGGGTACAATACAAGTGTGCTGCCGGCACGTGCCCCCACACCTCTCCTGGGTGCCTGTCTGCGTGTTGTACACGCGCACATAGTCGTCGTCAGAGGCCGAGACCAGAAAGTCGGCGGTGCGGTGGAAGGAGAGCGAGTTGATGCGGGCGGTGCCATCCTGCAGCGGCGGCACACAGCAGGGTGCTTGGCATGTGCAGGCGCATGAGCAACAAACGGAAACCGCAGGGGTGGCGCCGTGAGGCGAGCGGCGGTGGCGGCGGCGGCCCAACCGATGGCTGCACTGCCACGGCCCATCAGCATAGCAATTTCCGCACGAGAGTCTGCTGCAGTAGCGCAGCTGACGGCGGCCTCTGCACCCAGATGGCCGTCCCTCCCCCAAGCAAAAGTGCCTCAAACCCCTCGCAACCATCCCCATCGGACGATTGGGCCGCCGTCGTGCATTCGGACAGCAGCGCAGCCTGCTTTTCGGCCCGCACCTTGAACACCTTGCCCAGCCCAAAGGACTGGAGCGCGCCCAAGTCGAGCTTCATGGCCACACAGTCCCAGCAATTTAACCCGATGGGGTGCGCCCAGGGCATGGTTGCCAGCGCCACATGGCCGCCATGTCGCCATGCCGCCCAGGCGGCGCACCACCAAGAGCCACTTGGTGGCCTCAGGTGGGGAGCAATGCCTGTGACAGTGTGACCGACAGGCAAGCAGGGAAAGATGTGAGGACGGCAGGTGAGCGGCTTCAGCCACTGGTGGCTGGCGGCACGGATGGCACCGCGCAACGAGCGTGGCGGAGGAATTACATCGGCATTGCGGTTCAATAACAGACAGGTAAATGATGTACATGGCGGGAGCTGGCACCAGCATTCAATCGATGGTCGAACCAGCCAGCCACCACTGCTGCCGAACCAGCGCTAGCTGCTCCGCCTGCTGCTGCCGTTGGCTGCTCGCCCTTCCATGCTGCCGTTGCCGGGAGTGGCTTGCTGCGCTGCCTTTCCAGGAGAGGACTCTTCCAGCGGCGGCAGCGGCTGCCAGGCCTTGGGGCTGCCGCCCGCGAGGGGACTGCCGCCTGCCGGAGTGCTGCCGCTGCTGCGTGTGTCGCCGCTGCTTCTCGCAAACTGCTCCGCATGCAGGCTGTGCTCCGCGGGCTCCGGCTCCTCTGGCACGCTGATCAGCGATGCCCGGGATGTGCTGCGGCCCGAGAAGCCCTGTCCCCACAGCCCCGCCTCTGCTGGCCGCTGCGACATCAGGCTGACGCCGCTGCCCATCCCGGCTTCGCTGATGTCCGAGGGGCTGGCAGGGGGCAGGTCGTCTATCGCCTGCCGCTCCGAGTCGCCCATGCTCGAGGTGGTGGAAAGCAGCGCGGCGGCCCGCGTGGCGGTGGGGAAGGCGTTGCGCTTCATCATGATGGGCTGCAGCCGCGCTGCCAGCTGCCCGTAGCAGCGCATGAAGTCCATGCTGCTGCCTGCAGGCGGAGAAGGAGGAGGCCAGGTAGAGGGAGAGGCTGGCGTGAGATGACGGCAGGCCGATCCAGCCGGCCACCAAGGCACATGGCCTGCCCAGCATGCCAGGCCCGCGCCTGGCACAGGAGGCCACACAGCCATCCAGCATCCAGCACACCGGCAGCCTGCAGTGCAGACAGCCGGCAGCACGGGACAGCCTGCTGCGGCTGCGGCTGCCGCCACCACGCACCCGCATCCTTGGCAATCTGGCAGACGTGGATGCCTGCCAGCACCTCAAACAGGTGCGCCTGCAGCTTCATGCTGCGCCCGCCGCCCACCGGCATCGTCAGCACTGCCCGCCTGTCGCCCAGGCGATGCATGCTGCCGCCCAGGTCCTGCGCCGCCCCCTCTAGCGCCTCCAGGATCTCGCCTGGCGGCCGCCGGCTGCTAAACTGCACATGCTGCGACACGCACTCCTCCTCAAATAGAGCCCCCATCTGCAGGCAGAACAAACCTTGGGGAGGCACGTTGCTGTTCAGGCCACAGCTGGAACGGCAGCAGGAGCAGCGTCCCAGCCAGCCACAGCAGGCCAGCCAGGTGGCTCCGGCGGCCACCAGGAGGCCACCACCAGCAGTCTTGCCTCCAGCCCCGCCCACCAAGCCCAAGCAGGCAGCCCCAGAACCACGGAATGCGCAGGCCAGGCTAAAGCAGGCCGGGCTCACGTTGAAGCAGCCGGAGATGAGCTGGAAGGCATTGGTGCGCAGCTGCCCGTTGGACTCGCGGTGCTGGCGGCGGCGCGCGGCCGCGGCAGCGCCCACGTCGCCCGCCGCGCCCGGCTGCTTCTTGGAGATGATGGTTGACAGCACTTCACACAGGTCTGAGTACCACTTGTGGAACTCCGCAGTGTTGCCCTGCACCTTCTGCAGGTCCACCATGTGAGTGCCGGGCAGCACCTCAGTCACCTCCACCAGCACCTGCATCTTTCCCTTGGGGTTGGGGATGTACAGCCGCAGCCTGCGCAGAACGACAGAGTGGCGGGGGGTGAGGGCAGAGGGCAGGGGAAGGTGATGAGGGCCAGCAGGTGCATACCGGATGCAGCCAGGGGAGGCAGGGAGGCTGCGCTTCTGCGCCCGGCCCGGCTGCCCGCACCTGGCATCGCCCTGCTGCATCACGCGCCCGCCCACCGCCACTGCTGCGTTCTCTATGCCCGCCAGGATGGTTGCCAGCGGGGCGCGGCTAGAGAAGCGCGTGTGCCGCATCATCACATCCTCCCGCGCCTCGAACAGGGACGAAATATCCAGGCCAGCCTTGATCAGCTCAAACGCGTTCATCTTGCGTGTCGAGCCGGGGCTGCCCACAAGCTGGCTCACCCGCCGCTGCAGACGGGCGGGCAAGGGAGCAGGTGGGTGGGCACACGTGGTGGAACAGGGGCTTCCTGCCTTTGCTGCCGTGCCAGTGCAGCAGCGAGCGTGGCAGAAGGCATCCCACCCCACGCAACACAAGCGAGTTTGTGGCTGCTGCTACTTGCCGTGTTGTCGTTCTGGTAAGCGGTTTTGATGACTTCCGGCTCCACGTTGGGGGCAAAGATGTCTGCCTGCGTCTCAGGCGGCAGCGTCTGCCACCCCGCCACGCTGCGCCGGACGAGGCCGCTGCGCATCCAAGGGTGTGCCCACATCTGCTCTATGGTCAGCCTGCACCAGCCAGCATGATGCCATCCACTGCGTCAGCGCATCTGGCGCCTGAGCACTCCAGGATGGCAAGCATGCAGCACACCCCGTCGCCAAGCCGCCCAAACACACACAGCCAGGGAGCCGCCATCCACAGGCGCCGGCACCTGGCGTCTGGGTCGGGGTTGAGCATGCAGCCCAGCAGGTGCACGGCATCCTTGGACAGCCAGGGTGGAACCTCGTACTCCGCCTTTGAGATCTTCCCAAACAGCGCCACCAGGTCGTCCTCGTCAAATGGCAGGCAGCCAGCCACCATCACATACAGCACCACACCTGCAGCCAGGCCCAGGCCCGGGGCAACAGGCGTGGCGTCGCGAGCGGGAACCATTTGCACATGGCGAGGGAACGGGAGGTGGGAGCGGGGCAGGCCGATCCAGCCCCTGTGCAGCCAGCCAGGCAGCAGCTTGCCTGGCCAGGCCGCCCAGCAGCATCGTGCAACCAAACGCACGGGGACAGCCATCAAACACCTGCCACTCCCCACTGGCATGGCTCACCCAGGGACCAGACGTCGGCGGGGCCGCCACGGTAGCCCTTCTTGGCCAGCACCTCTGGCGCCACGTAGTTGGGCGTGCCGCAGGTGGTGCGCAGCAGGTCTTCAGAGCCGCCCGGGTTGGGCAGCACGCCCAGCCCAAAGTCGGAGAGCTTGACGGTGCCATCTGCGGGGCGAGGTGGACATGGGATGGTGGGGCAGGGTGAAGATGTGGGCCCATCTGAGGTGCATGGAGGTGTGAGCCCGTCCGTGCTGCTGGACCAGCCTAGCACAAGGTGCCTGCAGTAAGCGAGGCAGCGGCAGCGGGCGCTCACTGGAGCTCAGCAGCACGTTCTCGGGCTTGAGGTCTCTGTGAAAGATGCCCTGCTTGTGGCAGTGCCCCACAGCATCCAGCAGCTGGCTGAACATGCGGCGCGCCGCGGGCTCCTGCGTGGCGGCGGCGGCGGAGGCAGCGCAGGGAGGGTCGCACAACTGCGTACAGAGAATCCCCAACGCTCCGCCTGGCTCCCCACTCTGCCCTGCAGGCTGTTGCTCCCAATCTCCCAAACCGACGCCCGCCCGCCCGCTAGCCACCCTGCCGGCTCTCCTTCCCTGCTGCGCACCTTCATGGGCCCCTCCGCCACCACCTTGTCAAACAGCTCCCCCCCTGTCACCAGCTCCATCACCATGAAGATCTTGTCCCGGCTGGACATCACTTCGAGCAGGTTGACGATGTGGGGGTGGCGGATCTGGGGGCGGCGGGGCAGGCAGGCATGAGGGGGAATGTGTGTGGCGTGTGCATGCATGTGTGTGTGCGTGCTGGTGTTCGGGTGCAGGGAGGGATGGCGGGGCAGCCAGGTAAGGAGACGAAAGAGTGAGGGGCAGAGTGGACAGGCTGGCGGCAGCGGTTATGTGTTGGAATGCGGGCATAAAGGTTGGGGTCCCAGCACCTACCTGCTTCAGGATGCTGATCTCGCGCTTGATCTGCTCCACCATGCCGCTGCGCACCAGCGCCTCCTTGTCCAGCACCTTGATGGCCACAGCCTCCCCAGTGTCGCTGTGCTGCCCATACTTGACCTTGGCATAGGTGCCCTGCGGCAGGCGGTAGAGGTGGGAAGCGAGAGGTGGGCAGACGCATGGGAGAGCAGCGGGGAGAGCAGCGGAGGGTTGAAGCATGCAGCAGGCCTCTGGTGCGCAGATGGTCATGCGATGCAGTGCCTCACAAGGTGCTTGGCATCCTGGGAGTAATGCAGCAGGCGGCACGGCGGCGGGCGGCGGCGCGGGCGGCGGCGCGGGCAGCACACTCACCTCGCCGATGGTGCGGCCCAGATAGTACTTGCCGACCTTTTTCCGCAGGTGTGCTGCGCTCCCCCGCGAGCTCATTGTCCCTGCTGCCGCTCTCAGCCGTCAAAGACCTTGGCTGTGCCACCCACCCGCCTGCGCTCTCTGATCACCAAACAGCATCAGCCCGTTCACATATGTCACTGGCTAACGCTCCCACCCGCCGCCAGCGCCAGAACCTCCCCCCCGGCTGCTCAACAGAATGGAGCCGACGTGTGATGGGATTGAGGTCGTCAGAGTACAGATGGTTTCGGAACGGCCAGATGCCCCTGTAGCATCAAGATGCCCTGGCGCACCCTGCCGACGTGTCATTCCTCTCTAGTTTCAGTCGAGGCACCATGCATTTGATCGGCTAGAGCCATCTATGGTCTTGTCGTTCTCCTCGGCATCAGGCTCACCAACATGTGAGCCTCCCATCACCTCATCACCGCATGTGCAACACCATCAGCAACCTTCCTGTTCCCGATCCCTCCATCGGTCGTCAGTGGGCACTGTGTGGGTCTGGCAATGGCTGCCATGACTGCGCTTCCTTCAAGCACCTCCCCAGCTCTCAAGTTCGAGGTCCTGGCGCAGTGCGGCAGGGCCAGGGCGTCGCGGATGACGCTGCCGCACTATGTGGCCGAGACGCCCATGTTCATGCCGGTGGGCACCCAGGGTGCGCCGCCTCCGCCGACGGGCGCTCGCGCTGGAAACGAGGAATATGTGCTCGCAGGCCAGCGGCGCAGCTGCCCAGATCACGTGCACACAGCCGGCAGCCTGCTCTCCTGCATTGGTCACCGCACTGGGCGCGTGCATCACATGCGTGTGTCGCACCTGCCCCTCTGCCTGCAGGCTCAGTCAAGGGGCTGACCAGCCAGCAGCTGGAGGACCTCGGGTGCCAGGTCATCCTGGGCAACACCTACCATCTGGAGAACCGGCCAGGTGGGGCGCTGGCTGGAGCTCGCACCTCGGTACCTGCAGCTGCGACGCACGGATGACAGTGGCAAGCGTGCAGCGAGAGGGCTGCCACCCATCAGCGGGGACGCCAGCCCAGCCCCTGGCCTAGCCTGAACTGGCCTGAGCCGGCACCGCACTGCAGGCAGCGAGCTGGTGGCGGAGATGGGCGGCCTGCACAGCTTCATCAACTGGCCGCGCGGCATGCTCACAGACTCTGGCGGGTTCCAGGTAGGTGGCGAGATGGGGTGAGATGGGGTGGTGGGGGATACGAAATATCGAGGAGCCCGCCCCGGCTGCACTGCTGCCCTCGCAGCCAGTCAGGCCCTTGCCTCTGCCGCCCGCAGATGGTGTCGCTGCTGCATCTGGCAGACATCGGGGAGCAGGGCGTGACCTTCCAGTCCCCCACAGACGGCAGGCGCATGCTGCTGACGCCGGAGCACTCAATCCAGGTGTGCGGGTGGGCAGCGGTGGTGTGAGCTGTGCCAGCCCCAGCCTCACCCCTGCTACCACCCTGCACCGCATCCCAGGCCGCTGCCCTGCTACTTCCGCTGCCACCAACCCCGGCTCTTCCTGCCCCCAACACCTAACCTGTCGCCACGTGTGCCGCAGGTGCAGAACCGGCTGGGTGCCGACATCATCATGGCCCTGGACGACGTGGTGCCCTCCACCGCCGCCGACGACGCCCGGTTCGAGGAGGCCACCCACCGCACCACGCGCTGGATAGACCGCTGCATCGCCGCGCACTCGCGGCCCGCGGAGCAGAACCTGTTTGCCATTGTGCAGGTGGGAGTAGGTGGTGCAGACGGTGGTGGTGGTAGCGCTGCAGAGGTAGCAGGGCAGCTTTCAGAGGTGGGCAGGCGCTGTGTCGCACATCCCACCCAGCGGCCGGCCCTTGCTGCACCCCTAGCCTGCAGGGCGGGCTGGATGAGCGGCTGCGGGAGATCAGCCTCAAGGGCCTGGTGGCGCGAGACACGCCCGGGTACGCCATCGGCGGGCTGGCTGGCGGCGAGGACAAGCGCTCGTTTGTCAAGTGAGCTGCGGGGGCCAACAGCTGGGGCATGCACGCGCATTGGCAAGCGTGGCATCCCGTGCATGCTGCTTTGGCGCCAGCAGTGCCGTCGCACGTGCCTGCATGCTTGCTTTGCGCGGACAGCATACTGGCCGCCCGCCGTCAACCCTGGCCGGCCCGCAGGGTTGTTTCCCAATGCACCGCGGGGCTGCCTGAGGGCAAGCCTCGGTATGTGATGGGCATTGGCTACCCGCTTGACATAGTCATCTGCTCAGGTGTGTGGCTGTGTGGAACCATTGGGGGACTTCTGTTCAAGTGTGGGCATCCCTCGTGGGCGGGGTGAGATGGTTTGAGTGGTTGTGGGTGGCAGGGAGTGGGGCCGGCAAAGGGTCTTCCCCCTGGATGGGCCCCCCGCAAAAGGGGCCCCCTTTGGGAGCGCAAGGGTTGCACTGCACTGCACGCCAGGACCCTGGCTGCAAGCCACCACTGCCACCACCACCTCAACCTCCACCCACGCGGGTGGTAGGTCGAGGTCCGGGGGTCCCGCCACTGCCCCCCATTTGCCGAAAGTTGACGCCCCAACAGGGAGGGGGGCCCCCCCCCTCTGGGAATATCAACACCGGCGGGCCCCAAGCCGTGGCCCCCCCGTTTAAATGCCCCAACACAGCACTCCCCAACCCCACCATGCCCCCCCACCCCACACCACCCAGCAACCAACATCCGGAATTTGATGCATTTAATGCATGGGTTGCAGCTCATTGCTGGGCCGCTGGTTGAGCGCCACGCTCTGTCACGCTGTGCCACGCTGTGACACGCCATGTGCTGTGCAGCCCTGGGCGCCGACATGTACGACTCCGTGTATCCCACCCGTACCGCACGCTTTGGGGTGGCGCTGGTGCCCCAGGGGGCGCTCAAGCTCAAAAACGCCGCCTTTGCCAAAGACTACAGGTGTGGGTGTGGGTGCGCGCGGGTGTGGTGTGGAAGCAGGTGGTCGAGTGGTTGCAGCCTCGGCGCCCTGCGCCCCACCCTGCCCCGTGCACACGCCGCCGCATCCCAGCGCCTGCCAACCCACACCCACATGCCCGCAGGCCGCTGGACGAAGAGTGTGGGTGCATGGTGTGCCGGCGCTACACGCGCGCCTTCCTGCACCCGCTGGCCGCCAAGGGGCTGCCCTTTGCCGCCAACCTCATCAGCTACCACAACATTGCTTACACCATGGTGAGTGATGCGCGGCATGTGCTGGCTGGCTGGCTGGCAACGGCGCCGCTGTCCAGACTGGCTGTGTGCTCACCAATTTTGCTGCCCGTAGCTCACCCTACAAACACGCGCCTCGCTCCCCGCCTGGCCTGGCGCAGCGCCTGTCGGCCCAGATCCGGCAGGCCATCATGGAGCAGCGGTACGCTGAGTTTGTGCGGCAGTACGTCGCGGTACAGTTCCCCAAGGGAGATGTGCCCGAGTGGGTCTGTGAGGGCTGCCGCCTGGCAGGCATCTCACTGGATCAACCGGCAGGCGGTGCTGGCGGTAGTGATGGCGGTGGAGGGGAGGAGATGGCAGCAGCTAAGATGGCAGCAGCGGCAGGAACAGCGGCAGCAGACAGAGAGGCACCAGCAGCAGGAGCAGCAGCAGCGGTGGGAGGAGCAGTGGGAGGAACAGGAGGTGCGGCGGCGCAGGCGGCGTTAGAAGCAGGGGATGGCGGGGTGGCAGGGACTGGCACAGCAGCAGCAGCAGCAGCAGCACCGTCTCTGCAGCAGCAGCTTGGCAGTAGAGGGCTGCAACAATGATAGCAGCACCAATGGCAGCAGCAGCAGCCCTCTTGTGATTGAGCACGCCATTCAGTTTTTTCTGCGGATTTAATGCCAACATTGTGCATGCGCTGGCATACAACAGAGGGATGAACGATGGACAAGGGGATGAGGGGGAAGTCCGAAAGGTCAGAGGGTCAACGTGAGACAGCTGAGCGCCAAGTAATGCGGAGAATTCTGACAGTGAGGCGAGGGCAAGGCGAATTGGGTGAGGTGCAGTTGGTTTGAAGGGATTCTCAGTGGAGGTGTAGGAGGATGCCAACGAAGTGTGCAAGTGGGGGAAAAGGCATGCACCAGCGAGCAGAAGGGAAAGGCATGCACCACACATGCGCTGTGCAGTGGGTGCCCGGTGCCGCGAGGGCCCCGCTGCACCCGCTGCCGCCGCGTCAGCCCAGGGTGAGGACCTTCATGCAGCGCCCCTTCTGCAACGTGTACCCCTTCTTGCAGGCCGTGCACAGCCGGCGGTTGCGGATGTCGCACCTGGCGCATGCCGGCGCCAGGCACTTGCCGCAGTTGCCAGAGGCACTGCCCGTGGTGTAGCCTGGCCTGCAGGAGCACAGCACACGGCAGGCCGGCAGTGAGGAGGCTGGCAGTGGGGAAGCTGCAGCTCAGCCAGATGCCAACTCTTGTGCCCGCCACCAGCCACCATCGATCATCAGCCCTGGCCCCTGAGAGCCGCCTCACCGGCACTTGAGGCACTTGCTGGCGTTGCACTGGAGGCAGGCGGCGCCAAAGCCCTTGGGGGCCAGTGCGCTGCAGGCCACGCATTTGGCGTACGACCTGCGCTGCCCCTTGAGGGTGAAGACAGCAGAATTGCGCGTGCCGGCTCTGGCCAGGTATGTGCCGGTTGGGCCTGCGTGCGGCATGTGCAGGGGCGGTCAGCGAGGTGTGGGCAGGGGTGAGGGGTGCTGGTCACGGCCCTCGCATGCATCGGCATGGGCCAGCAGCAGGGCGGCAGAGCAGGGCATGCACTTACATTTGGTGCATCCGTTTCGAGTGCATGGGGCTGAGCAGCCCAGGCTGGCTAGGGCGCAGGTTGTGCAGCCCCAGGACCCCTTGCGGTTGGGCTTCTTGATGGGACGCTTGGTGGGGCAGAGTTTGTTGACGTTGACTGCAAGGAGGCCAGCGGGGGAGCGCGAGAGTCATCAGCAAGATGTGCGGCCCTGGCACCACTTGGGCTGGCACGCGGCACGGGGCAGCGGTATGGGGGGGACTCACCGTCATCGGGGTCAACAGAACTGGTCGGCATGGGGGGCCCCGGGACCTGTGGTGTGCAGTAGGGGCTGACGCTCGAGGCCTTCACTGGTGGGGCCCACCTCCCCATCCTCTTCAGGTAGGCCCTGCCCTGGACCACGGCCTTGGCGCTGGCCTGCAAAGGAGCTCACGCTGGCCGCTGGTGAGGCAGCTCACCCTGCAGTAGCTGCAGCAGCGCATTTGCGGGCCCTGCATCCTGGCTGTGCAGAGCGCAGCAATGGTGCCCCTCTGCCCCGCCGCTGAATGCAGACAGGCAGGGTTTGTGGCATTGCAGGCGGCCGCGATGGCCTCACGTTGCAGTAGGAGTAGGGGTAGAGCATGTTGGGGAACCAATTAAAGATGTTGGGTGGCATGCCGTTGGCCGACAGGTTGCGCAGCTGGGCGATGACCAGCCTGCAGGAGCCATGGGCGGGGCAATCGCTGGCGTCACGCTCAGTGGCAGACTCGGCACAGAAGGTAGCGTGGCGGCAGGCAAGTGCCTGCCCAGCTCCCCCACCGCACGTCAGCCTGCGCAGCATGCTGCTGCTTGGTGCTGCCCGGCTGCCCGACCGCGTGCGCAGCACCGGGCCCACCTGGTTCCGTTGAACGAGGCGTTGACCTGGGCCCTGAACTTGTTGACCACCTTGTTGATATTGAGGTCCTGCTGCGGGACCCAGGTGCGAGTGCAGCTCTGCACGCCGTCGCTGATGATCTTCAAGCACTTGGCCCACGCCAGGTCGCACCGCCCGCTCTGCTGCACAGAGCACTTCAGGGTTTGCCCGAAGAGCCAGCACGGAATCTGGTAGTCGGTGGTCAGGCTGCTCACGCAGCCGGGGCGCACGGTCTGGGCCGAGTTGACGTACTGCCATTGCTGGTCGTACAGCTGATAGAGGGGCACTTCTTAGTAGGCGTCTTTGAAGTCGTATGGGTCGTGTACGTCGTCGCAGCCTGGCACGTGGTATGTCACGCCGCCATCTACCCGGCGCGTGCTCATGCAGTATTGGTTGTCGCCCAGGGGGTCGCACACCTCCTTGTTGAGGGTGGCGTTCTTGTTGGCCAGATCGGACATGTTGCCCAGGGCCCAGCTGGTGCCGGTGCTGTACTGCTCGGTCAGGTCCTTGAGGTGCTGGAAGCTGGTGTGGTCCACGCGGCTCTGCGGGCAGCGGGGGCGTCAGCAAGCAGCAGCAGGCTGAGTGTAAGCGAGAGATGGAGAAGCAGAAGAGGTGCAACACACGTGGATGAAGCCAGTGTTCCAAGCAGGGCGGCGGTAGCGCCGGCCGCCTTAAGGAAGAAGCTTCTCGACGCCGCTGCTCCGGCGTCAGCTTGCAGCGCTCCCCGTACTTGCCTGGAGCCAGTCTGCCGCCGTCTTTGCAAAGGTACGGACCTCCGTGTCGCCCCCCTCTGCCGCGTAAAGCATGATTAGCTGTTGCAGCAGTGTCACCTTGATCAGGGCTGCCTTGGCATAGGCCAGAATCGCGCCAGGGTCAGTGAACTGGTCAAGAGCCCGGAAATTTTTGATTGCTGCAGTCAAGGGGGCACGTCATTGTTTAGCAGTTGCTGGCGGCTCCTGTTTGGTTGGATGGTGATGGCTGCCCTCCCCCACCAACCCAGCAGTATTCAGAAATACTGCGCGTTACCATCTGAGAGGAAGAAAGCGTCGTGGATCTGTTGCACGTCCTCTACTACCCGCTCATATGAAAGCCCACTCCTATAGCACCGGCCGTCTGTGTCGCACACGCCCACGACGTTTGTGCCAGGGTACTGCGAGGATGGGGTGGGGTACAGCAGGGTGGGAGGAGGCCATGCACACTGCAAACCTCGGCACAGGTAGAGCCTGGCGCCGCATGCACAGATGGTTGCACTTCAGCTGTGCTGTCTTCAGAGCTGCCGGAGCTGCACAGTGTGCACAGGGCAGGGCAGCCGGTGCACCGTGCAGGTAACGGGGCTGGTTGGGTCCCAGGTCTTGACCCCACCGCACTCCTTGACATTACGCATTCCTTGCACGCAGTCGTCGCAGGCGGCCTTGTTGCGCTTGCTGGGCGCCACCGCGGTATAGTTCTGCGCAGGGCGGGGGCCAAGCAGCCAGGCAGCACGGTTGCTTGCAAGCGCTGCTGGCTCCCGGGAGTTTGCGGAGCGGGCTGCGCGGCCATGCATGAAGCTGGTGCAGCTCACCAGGCAGTTCCATGCAGGGCACCGGTCCTGAATCTGCAGAAGGCAAGTCCAGCGGACGGTGTTTGTGAAAGGAGGCTGGGCATGACCCACCCACGCGTGACCTCCCCTCCCTCTCCCTCTCCACCCTCCATCTCCACCCTCCACCCTCCATCTCCACCTCGCCCACTCCGTTTATGCCTCCTCACAATGCTGCATCTGGAGGCTGCGCCTCCACTCCACACCATCCACCTGCGCCTGGATGCCCGCCACCTCATTATTGAACTCAGTCAGGCGGTCCTCAGCCATGAACGTTTCCAGAGTGTACACGGCGGTGGAGACGGCAGCATTGATCTCACATGCCAGGTAATCTTGCTCTTTGACCAGGTCCTGCACGGAGGGCCGCAGGCAGGAATCAGACCACGGAGGAGGGCAGGGGCAGCGGCAGCATCCGGCATTGATGCCCTGCACCGATGATGTGCAGGTGCTCGCTTGGTGCATGCCCCGCCAGAGCGCCGGCTGATGGAGTCTGGCAGGAGCAGCAAGAGTGGGGGCCTCCCAGCCCGGGGGATGTGCTGTGAGGGCTTCTCTAAGCGGGATTCCGATTGAGGTAGTGCGTGTGTTTTACCTTGTCCAGGTTGTAGCGAGCCCAGGCGGGGTCATCCTCGGCGTTCACGCCGTTGAAGATGCCCAGCCCAATATCGCCTGCAACAAACGCATGGCCAAACCTGGAGTGAGCCCTCCAAGAATACCGATGCCAGTGTTGCAGGGCAGCACAGCCTCTGCTGGCGCCCTTGAGGGCAGCACGTGCCGCACAGCTGCCGTTTGCATGGCACCGCCCAAGGCGCCTTCCATGCGCCGGGCACCCACCCAGCCCCGAGAACCACTGGAGCCCGTCCGTAATGCCGTCAAAGAAGTCGGAGAGGGTGTCGGCAGCCAGGAAAATGCCCTCAAACACCTGGTGCAGTGGTGGGCCAAGCGGTCAGTGGTGAGCTTGTTGAAAGCTGGCGGCGGTGTCCAATGATTGATTGCGGGCGCTGCCGCCGCTTACCTCACCGACGGCGCCAATTGCGTCGCCGTCGCCAGGTTTCTGTGCAGTGGTGGGACAAGAGGGTGGTGGCTGAGCAGGTTGGAGGAAGAAGCCCCGGCCCCGGTACAGGGCAGGAGCCTCACCTGGTGTGGCTTGAGCTTGGTGGGATCGCACACGTTGGTGCAACAGTCCGTATAGTTGCCGCACGGCCTGTTCAGCTGCAGGCCCAAGGCTGGGGTTAGAGAGAGGAGCAGCAGCAGCACGTGGCCGCGCCCCGCGCCTCTCATGGTGTTGACAGTGGGACAAGACAGGAACAGGTGATGATAACGATGAAGGAGAAGCATGACCCGCTTGGCGTGTAGGCTTGGTCCTGATCAATTGTGCTGCGCATGGCCGGCCAGCTGGCTGCCTTCAGCCATCTGGCCACTTGGAACCAACACATTGCAATTGATGCAGTTGTCGCGTGTGAGTTACCCCGGGGGGAGAGGGGGGGCCGCCAATCTGATGCAGCAGCTCCGCTCGGCGGGGGGCAGGACCCGCCGGACCCGCCAACGGCGGCAGCTGCAGCTGGACACCAGGTGTGGCATGCACGTATGCGGCTGACAAGCAGAAACCTGATGTGGATGAACGAAGCAGTGCCGCGACTGTTGCAAGGCATTCCTTCCATACATGTGTTTGTGTGTGGTGGTAGAACTGGTCCAGAGCTGCCACTGCGGGCTCGGCGCTTGCCTCGAGGCAAGGCCCCTGGGGGGTGTCCTGTCCCCCTACAGCAGCAGCACCGTTACAACCTCACTGATGCCCTGCAAAGACAATGAAGTTACAGCCGAATGGCGGCAGTGCTTGGGGTGTGTGGGGGGACCGTGAGCAGCAGAAAGGCGAGCACAGGAGGAGGAAGAAGCACACTCGGTCAATAAGGACCTAAGATGGCGCTCAGGCCGGTAATGGGGTGTACAGGGCGGTCTTATTCTCTCCTAATGGAGTCAGGACAGGAAAGAGCAAGAGCATGAGGGAGCAAGGGGCTTCGAACGACATCAAATCGGGGTGTGCGTGGTTGCGGGAAGGCCAACTCCCGCACCCGTCACGCCCCCAGCTGCTTGATGGCACTGTTCAGCCAGCGCCGCAGCTTAATGGTGCTGGTGGCAGCGCCCAGGTTGCCTGTGCCGCCGCACTTGTAGTCTGCTGGCATGAAGCTGTACAGGCCAACCTGCAGGTCCGGCTTGCCGGGGGTGTACAGGATGATGGGAGACCCAGAGTCCCCGCTGCACCCCGCCCGCTTCAGTGCGCCGTTGCCTGCAGCAGCGGCGGTGCCACGCGGTGGGTGGCGGGTGGTGCATGGGGGTGCACAGGCAATGAGGAGCATGCATCAGTGGCAGCAGGGCCTTCACTCCAGCTTCTGTCGGCAAGCATCCCGCTCCTCGCACTCACCAAGGCAGATGGCGGTGGGCGGCATCCACATCCGCCTGGCACACACACCAGTGGGCTGCAGCGGCAGCCAGGCAGCCCTGCAGGGCCAGAAGACACGCAAAGAATGGATGATCAACCAGATCGGGGCCAATGTGTGTGTGCAGTATGTGCCAGGCCAACGGGGCACGCCCAGCAGAAGCAGCAGCAGAAGCAGCAGCTGCTGCTCACTTGAGCTGCGGCGACACAGGCACCGCCTCTGTTTCTCCCCACCCCGCCACCAGCAGCGAGATGCCGGCACTGAGCCGCTTGCCGGCCGGGGCCAGCGCCAGCGGCTTTGCCTTTGCCCTAGATGCCAGCCGCAACACTGCTATGTCATAGGCTAGGGTGGAGCCCTTGTAGCTGGGGTGCCTCAAAATGCGCTGCAGGTGGCAGCACACAGCGGGCATCTGTAAGGCCCACCAGCGACGCTCTCCGGGACTGGCAGCCAGCCAGCAGTGATGCGCACGCGAGCGCACCTTAATGCCAATCTGCTGGTACTGGTTCGATTTGTCCGTGTTCCAGTTGTAGAGGCCCACCAGCACGGCGGTAGGCGGGTTCCCCCCCACGACGCAGTGCGCTGCACAAAGGAGGTCAGCAGGGCTTGATGCCCAGCCCCGTGCTGCAGGCTGTGCCACAGTAGGGCGCACTGGTGGACGACGCATGCTTACCTGCTGTGAGCACCAGGCGCTTGGTGATGAGGGAGCCGCCGCATATGAACCCGCCGTTGGCCGTAATCCTGGAACAAACAACGTGGCGGACATGCTGAGTGCATGCATATATGTGCCTGGCACAGGCAGCCACAAAGGCAACCAGCCACAGTGAGAGGGCGGGTCGTCACGTTGAGAGGCACATGCAAGGCGGCAGAGCCGGCAAGCTGGGCATGAGTCACCCTGGCAGCTACCAACTCACAGTGCAGCTATGTAGGGGAAGCGTGTTCGAGCCGGAACCCAGCCATGGGCAATCGCTGCAACAACTTCGTCATCGCCACCACTGGCGGTCCCATTGCTCAGCAGCCGCCGGCTGCCAAAAGAGGTGCTGGCGCCTACATCTGAAGCGCCTGCAAGATGCTTGCCATTGGCAGTATTTTGTTCTGGGTTTAGCAAGCTCAACCAGCGCCCGGCAGCGGCAGGAGCAACGCTGGCGCGGGCTACGCCATTGGCGGCGCCACGGGGCGGCCGCCGCCGTTGTGGGCTGACCCGCGCCCCGGTCCACCCACACGCGGAAAGCGCTGCATGCAAACGGCGACCCTCACCCGCTGTACTCGCTACCAGGAGCAGCCAGAGGGCGCAGAGGGGGGCAGCGGACTGGCTGCCCATGCCGCACCTCCAACTTGCCCCAGCCACGGACCCAGACCTTCAAGCCTGATCTGAGAGACAGGTGCAGGAAAAGTGTTGCTTTCGGTGCAACCTCAGGAAGTTCCCTTACCCGTTCTGCCAGAGTGGCGGTTCATTGGCTTTGCACAACGCGCCCGGTGTACAGCCAATCACCAACATGCAATCATTATCTGAAGGGAGAGGGGGTGCTGCCGGTCAGCCGCCCGTTGAGTGGCCACCCGCCATTGCCGCCGCATGTCATGCATGCCGCCCCTCCACATGTCATGTATGGCCCGACGCTTCATTAGCCACAGGCGTGTTTGATTACAGGGGCCGTGAATCATGCATGAAAAATATGCAAGCTGCAGGAAGGGGGGGGGTCGGGTGGCGAAGAGCGCAGCAATGGCTGGACGCTATACAATGCGAAAACTGAAAGGATCCGAACACAGACAGATGATGTGGATATAAAACAGCAAAACAGCGAGCCTGCCTCAGAGCTTCAACGACGCGATTATGGAGAGCAGCCACCGCCGCATTGCCGTGACGCTGGTATAGGCCCCCAGGTTCATGTCCCCACCGCAAGAGCCGCCGCCGGGCCCATAACTGACCACTCCCACCAGCACATCGCCATTCTTGGTCCTCTTAACCAGTGGGCCGCCGCTGTCACCTTCACAGGAGTCTTGGCTGTCGTCCGCATACCCCGCACAGATGTGGGTTGTAGGCACAGGGTCTGACTCAAACTCGTCGATATAGATCTCGTTGCAGTAGGCTCTGCTAATGAACGGCACTTCTGCGTACCTGCTAGCAACAAAAGTGCACAAATGAGGCAGTGTGATGACCCCTGAAGAGTCTCTGCTATGGCTTTGCAAGATCGCCAGAAGCAAGTGCCAGCAGGGCGCACCCCACTTACAAGAGCCTGGAGGTGTCACCCTGTTCCGTGGAGCCAAAGCCCGCCACAAACAGCCAGTCACCGTCCTCATAAACATCAGCCGGTATCAGCTTGTAGGTAGGGGGAGGCAGCAGCACCGGCTTGGTCTTGGCGGGACGATTGAGCACCAGCAGGGCGATGTCATTTGCCAGCGTGTCGGGATTGTACTGCCCGTGCACCACAATCTTCTGCAGCAGAACAGAGGCTAAAGGGGGACAGTCAGCGAGGCACAAGTACTGGTGGCGACACGCATGCTGCAAAGAGTGCCATGTGACCGCCACAAGGCTGGCAACCCTCCCGGCTGCTCACCGTCACTTTGCGGTATTCGTACTGACTCGGCATGTCGGTTTCCCAGTTTCGGATTCCGATGTACACCGCCTTGACGTCAGAAATTTTGCCATTGGCTTTCTTTACACAGTGAGCTGCAGAGGGAGGGTTGATGGCAGCGGCAGCAGCAAAAGGTGGGATTCTGATAGCCTCTGATTCAGCCAACAAGACAGGCAGGCAGCATGCAGAGCGGCCAGTCACACCTGCTGTGATGGCGAGGCGGGGGCGAATAAGCGCGCCACCACAGCCGGCCCAGCTGTCGGCACTGTCCAGCCTGCGGCAGAGCAGAGAGGCTGGCATGCCCCAGCGGATCAGGCAGGGCAAGCATTGGATCAGACCCCTCCTGCAGGCAACCAGAAGGTCCATACTCACAGGGAAACCAGGTACTGGAAGTCCTTTTCGGCTGTCAGCAGGCCATAAGCAATTGCGGAATTGACGGCATCGTCACTGCTGCCTTCAGCGCCGGGTGTAGCGGCGGCGGCGGCAACCCCAAGCAAGCCCCGTGCATCCGCCCCCTCTGCAGTGGGCAGCAACACAAATTTATTGAAACCCTGAAGCAAACACAGGCATGAACTTCAGGGGGAGGGCACGGTAGGGCGGGCCTTTGGGGGCACACATGCATGCGTGCCAGCTGGGGTTGGGGCGCCCATATGGGCGCGGTAGGGCGGGCCTTGAAGGCAGGGGGAGGGCACGGTAGGGCGGGCTGCGTGGACCCCAATTCCGCAATCCAGTGCATACCCACCTGCAGAAATGCACCACAGCACGGCCAGAGCCAGACGCCAGCGCCGCGTCCATGTGCGTTCCATGCCAGTGTCGCGGAGCGAACACAAGCACTTGTGCGGGGCGGCAGCTACCAACTCAGCCTTGACAAGTATGCTTTCCTAGGAGGAAGATTTGAGAGGCAAGCCATGGGCTGCGCATGGCAGCTGCCACAGGAAGCTGTACCCTCACCGCCTGTGGCCCCAGTTTGCCGACAGTTTGCCGCGCCTGCCGCTAACAGGCGCCCGCTTTATGGCTTGTCCAGCATGCCTGGCCACGCCAAACTGATGTGCTACAGCCAACGCAGGGGAGGTGTGCTTGCATTACATAGCGCCCATGCAGGCATCATGCGCGGCGTCGGATGACGCCAGGCGGCACACCATCCGCCGGTGCTGCCCGCGTCACGATGTGGGCGGCAGCACCGTGACGGGCAGCGCCCAGGTCAGCTGCTCCAGCCGCCCCTGCAGCGGGCTCCAGTCGGGGGAGGCCGGCGGCGGCGGCTCGGCCGGAGCGGCGGCGCCGGGTGCGGCCGCAGCCGCGCCGCCGCGCGGCGGCGGCATGATGGCCGTGAACTGGAAACGCAGCAGCCAGCGCAGCTGCACCAGCGGCGTCTGGAAGCTGGCGGCGGCGTCTGGGGGGATGGTGAAGAGGAAGTGCGTGCACGAGGTGTCGGCCGTCACCTCCAGCTGCTCGTCGTACACGCGGCGGATGGCGCCCGCGCCGCCGCCCTGCACCTGCCGCCGCCACGGCGCCTCCACAATCTCCTCCGTCTCCAGAAGGATGAGCACCTGGGACGAGGTGGTGGGGTGCGGGTGGGAGGGTGGGCGAGTGGGTGGGCAGTCGGCTGCTTTTTGAGTGGGTGGGAGAGCAGAACCCTGATGGATTGGAGCCGCAGGCCCACTACACCCTGCCTCCAAAGCCCGCTGGCACAGCAAGGAACCTGCCAGCTCAGCTGCCGCTGGCAGCCGTCCCTCGCCCCGCCCCGCCCCCCCCCCCCCCCTGACACAAACACAAGCACACCTGGATGCAGCAAGGGCTGGGCCCACCAGCAACCGCCGCCGCCGCAGGCGCTGGCGGCGCCGCGCCGGCCTCGCCGTCGGCGGCTGGCGCGGCTGCTGCCGGCGGCTGCGGAGGCGGCTGCGGGCTGAAATCCAGCGTGCCAGCCAGGGTGGAGCCGGGCTGCAGGCTTCCCTCCAGGGGCGGGTGCAGGCTGACACGCACCAGCGGCTGGTCCCCTATCCTGCACAAACAGGGGCACACGGGTGCGCAGCGCAGCAGCAGGGCAGAGTAAGCAGCCAACCAGCCCACACCCAGAGCTGCTTACCCAGCGCTGCCTCAGCGGGAGAGGGCAGGCAGCAGGGTAGGCAAAGGCTGCGGAGCGCCTGCCAGGTGCAGACGGCACACGCCTCCGCCTGGCCAGGCCGCCCCCCAAGTACATACATGCGCACACTCCGCCCCGCACCTGAGTGCGTAGCTGCGCAGCGTGGAGCCGCTGTCTAGCAGCTGGGAGGGGGACCGGGGCAGCGCCAGCGAGGCAGACTGATCCAGGCTGGACCGTGACAGCGGCGGCCGCCGCGCGGGCAGGCGGCTGTGGGGCGTGCTGGCACCGCTGGATGCAGGCGTGCCCTGCGGCGGCAGCTGCTGCTGCGCGGTCGCCGCCGCCACTGCCAGCTGCTCTGGCGGCAGCCTGGGCGGCATGGGCGGCGCTGCCACTGCTGTCACCGGCGTGGCCGCCACGGCCAGCCCGCTGCCGCCGCCGCCGCCGGGCGCCACGTCTCCCTCCTCGGCCACTGCCTCCCCTTCCTGCGCGTCGTGGCTGATCTCGCTCCTGCTGTCATCCCCGCCCGCAGAGCTGCCGGCGCCGCTGCCACGCGCCAGCCGCCCGCCTGGGCTGTGCGGGCGGCTGGCCTGCTGCGGCTGGCTGGCCAGCTTGACAATGTGAGCCACCGCATCCTGCACCGCTGTGCCAGGGCCAATCTCCCAGCACTTTATGGGCATGTCTTCAGACTGTAGAGCCGGGGGCGGCAGCGAGCCCCCCAGCAGCGCAGGGCTGCGCTCCGCTGCGCCTGCCGAGTCCGCCTGCACATGCAGGGGGGCACGAGGGAGGGGGGGGGGAGGGAGGGGGGGGGGGAAG